TATGGCTTGATCCTTGCTTTGCAAGTTCATTACTGCATGAGTATCTATAACAAATTTTGGCAGTGAAAAAATTTCAAAATTTAACTATTTATGTAAGGGGTAATGAAACCACATCAAAGCTAAAACTATCAATATTCTTTATCAGGTCATGTGAACAACGTTACCTTCAAAAGTGGTACATATATATTATCGATTAATCCCGACAAATTTCGAAATGGCATCCAGTTTCTTCCGCCAATATATTTTTATGGCTTCTACAGACTCAAAATGTATTTCATCTAGTAACATCTAGTAAACGAAAATATCGCATGACACTATATCTTGTGAATATAGTACTTATTCGATGATAGCTCTTCAATTTATGAAGTACAAAGTATTGACAATGAAAACATTGACCGATGATATATTATAGTAGTGCGATATCTAAATGTTTTTCATAAACCTGACCTTGTCAGATAAATATTCTTCCGCAAACACTTCATGACACCTAGATAATATTGTTAAGTAACAGTCTGACCTTGCGATAAGAATTCAAGATGAATCACACCCCGACAGTTGAAGAAATAACCTTTATTGTGGACGACTTTAGGGTAGGTCATTCGGATTTTCTTAACTTTAGTCCTCCAATTTTCGATGACTTATACAAAATTTTTATTACAAAATATAATGGATTGCATAATTGTGGAATCAATATACACATGAGAAAGCATGTCCTCAGCGATTGAACTCCGATGTAAAATTCGTATAGAACTCAAGACTTTTGGTACATGCTCAGTTTTAAGGCTTTACTTACCTAAATAGGCAATTAAAATGACATGAAATGAATGGTGAGAGATATTTATTTCCTATGCAACGATAGTTCTCGAATATTAATTCCACCACTTTATCGATATTTTCTTCGATAATAGCTTTTCTGGAAGCACTGAGGCAGGTTATGAACGCCTACTCTTACACTTCTAAGTCATCATAAGACATATTCAATATTTTTAAGGACTCATTACAAAAATTTATGCAAACTCTGTAATCCAATAAATTGTACATAATGAAAAACAGAAAATTTTTTTAAAGGAAACTCTCTAAAAAGATAGTTGAAAACACAAGGGCTTAATACTTGCAACTAATTTTATGGGTGTCTATAAGTAAACTGTCAAATACCATATACAAGTATTACAGTTCAAAAATATGTATCTATTAATAAATTACATCTTATTATACTTAATACTTGCAAAAATGATCAATTATAATAATATATATATTATATATTAAAATGGAACATATTTTAAATGATGCAAATCGGATATTAATGGTTAGTTAAAACCACAAATTAAGAAGATTACAAATATGTTTTAATTTTTGTAATAAATCAACATAAATTAAAAATATAACAAATTATTTTAATAAAAAAGCACTTAAAAGATATAAAATAATTAATGGGGTATTAATAAAATCATTGAATAATTTTAAACTTTCACACGAACAACAAGTAGCTAACAGAGAAAATAATAAAATCTTTAATAAGTTCAATAAATTTTGTATTTAACTTAAATATAATAAATAAGAATATAAAATTTTTTTTTTTTGAAATTCGAAATGTTGGCGCCAGTTTTGGTGAAAAATAATGCTTTTAATTATTTAACATTTAATATGAAAATATTATGAACATAAATTAATTAATTTTGTTCGATTTTAATGCAAATTAAATTACTTTTAAAATATTTGTAGCTTACGTGTGACTTGCGTCAGTAAAGAATGAAAAAACAGTGATATACTAATATAAAATAATGAAGCTCAAAAACAAATGAAATATTTTGTTAATTTCAAAACGACCTTCAAAAAAAAATGTCTCAAAAAAAAAATAATAAATATGTCAAAAATTGCGGTAAATGAACTGTTAACTTATAAGTCAAAAAGATAATTTAAATAATCGCAATAAATGTATAACTTGAAAAAAAAACTAAAACTCTACGACTATAAAAAATAATATAATGCTATGTTCAGACACACCTTAATTTCGCAAAAATCTTAATTTCATCTTCATTTCAGAAGATAAAGTTAAGATAACGAATAAGTGACGTTTTTTTTAAATAAATGACAATGACAGTTAACTTTAATAAAACCGAAAGAACTGTAACTGTTATTAATTTAAAATAGATTGAAAAATAATAATTCACTTACCTGAAATCCACTAAAGCTAATAAAACTACTGAATGCCATCCTTTATAGTTATAATAATCAACTTTTTAAATTTCCCATATACAAACGATGTTTGGAGCATGTAATTTGTAACATCCGATTTGTAAACAAAAAATAGATGATTTCCTTAATTTGGAGCAGTATGAACACCTTCAAAATTAACTAAATGTTATTATTACGAAATTAAGTAAATTTGGCTGTCTGAACATAGTAATATTTACAGTCAAATAAAATTATTTAACTTACATTATCTTTATAACATCTTATTAAATGCATGTCCACAACTAATTCCAAAATGGTATTACAATTAATCACATTTCTGTGCATAAATTTTCAAAATAATGAAATCAAATTAGCTAATTGGCCAATAATTTGCTTTAATAATAAGAATATTGGTTTCTAGTGCGTAAACATTGATAAAAAAAAAGGAATTATGGCAACTCACATTAAAAAGAAAAATTCATATAAAAACAAATTAAACTTTTGGAAATTTATAATTTCATATTGTACTTATTAAGCATTCAATTGTTTATTTATTATACAAATTTATTGAACTTCATTCTTAACTCTTAAATATTCCTAATATTTGCTGTTCCTTTTCGTTTCTTGTTGTGCTCGACTTTTTGCTAATTGAGTAGCTATAGTACAAACACTTAATTTTAATAGTTTTACTAAAGTTAATTGAGGATCGCTAACATAAAATGTTTTCTTTCTGCTAGCTATTGTTGTTTTTTTAATTTGTATAGAATTTTATAGAATATTTGCGGATTAATAAACACAAAGAAACAAATAAAAACTTATATGGCGTTTACATTGGTCGAAAATGGCTCATTTTGAATGAGCCATTTGAAAGTGTTTACATTCGTTTTAATTCGTTTGTTCTCATTTCAAACAGCTGATTTTTCAACTTGCTTGTTGATTTGATTTTGGCCTGTGCCAAAAAAATATTGCATGAAGATTAAATATGCTTTCAAACCTTACAATATAAACTTAAAACATATTTTTAACTTCGATTAATTACCTTTTGGGAAGTAGAAGTTCTAAAAAGAGGTGCATCGTTTTCAAGAAAATGCAACCACCAAACATTTGTTTACCTTTTTTTGTAAATATGTCAAAAACAGTTTTCTCAAACTGTGAAAATGCCATGAAAAGCTTTTATTTAGGGTATGTTCAATGGATTCCCTTGCATATGGAACATATGTGGAATGCATTCGAACGTCTTTCATACAGAATGTGAGAAAATTGCTCATTTTCGCGCTTGAAATTTTATATGCAAGAATGAGCCATTCGCTACTCATTTTCGATTTTTGACCAAAATGAGCCATTTTCGGCCAATGTAAACGCCATATTAAATGGCTGAGAAATTGAATGAATTGGTGAATATCTTTGTAGCAATTAGATGTAATAAGAAAACGAATCAATATCGAGTTGGTAATTGTTCATAGGGGAAAGAACTGTTATCGAATTTTTAAGAAAAAAATATGACGAAGAAAATTAAGTATCTTATAAGCTATAATATTTATACAGCATCTTTCTGACGTATGTATGAGTATGTTCACGTCAATTGACAGAAATTCTATAAGAGAATTAGAACTACATTAGATTAGATTAGAGAATACGTATTCATAATCGTGACACATTAATTACAATTAAATAAAAGCTAGAATATACATTGTAAATAAAATATTAACACCGTTATCTATCAATTATCCTTTTTGTTCATATAATAGCCGTAAATTTTTCTTTCAGAGTTGTAAGAAAACAGCATTAAATCTGTTTGAAAGAAGTTGGCATCACTTTTAAAATATGTAAAAAATTGTAAACACTAAAAATTAATTCATTTAAATAATAGAAAACTAAATTAATAATAGAACAACAATGGTAAGCATTTTTATCTTATTGTTTTGATGTATTGCAAGTTGTTGTTGGAATTTTGCAACATAAACATTCACAATAGACTGATTTTTAAATTTGACTGCAATGAAACTTAGGACGTAATATTATTTGTGAGTAAAATCTAATTCCGAAGATTTTAGAAGCATTACTGTTGCTTCACATGATTTCTTTCATAAGTTGCAAGTATTTTTTTGATACTTTAAAAAGGTACATCAAAAAAAATTACAAGCGAATAATATTTAAGTTAGGCAGCAATTGTAATACTAAATTCAAACACCACAACTTGCAAATGCTTAACTGCGGGTTTGATAAAGTTGTTAGTATTATTCAGTTTTTGTTGTTTTAAACTTATTTATCGAAACAATTTTTATAAAGAGGTTTTCGAACAGAAGTGAAACAACAACAAAAATTTATTTTTTAAATTATTTTAATTAATTGAATTTTTGGCTGACCATACAGCTGTTTCGAGTATTGCCAAATACCCTTCAGTGGTCTTGGAAATAATTTTTATATTTAATTATTTGTAAATAATTATTTTTGAGACTGCAAGTACCAGGAATTGAACTCGGGTCCTGCTAAATATGAAGCTCAGAATCAGCGCACCTTCTTTATGTAAATATAACAAGTTTCTATTAAAATTATAATAGTCACTTCCGTCTGGAAAATTTGACGTTAAATTACAACTTAGGACCAATTTTTAGAAATTTACTTCTTTATGATTCTTCTTGGTTATGTTTATAATCTCTTGAACACATTTTTTGTTATTAATGAAATTTATTGTTCATACTAATAGTTTTATTTATATAAAGAAATATTTATTTTTTATATTTTTTTATTGATTTTAATTTTATTTGTAACTACTGGTTTTTTAAATTTATGTATCTCAAGAATATGTGAGTTATATTCTATATGTTATGACGTTTAGTTTATTCTATTTAGTTAGGGTTTCAATCGCAACGCGCTGCAAAGAAACTAAAGTACATTGTACAACACTGTTTCATATGTCAAACAGGAACAGCATATGTCTGATAGCGTAAACATTAATTTTGTGGATGCCGGTTCGCTAATGCTAAGTGTAATTCTTATTTACAATATTTTTCTAATTTATTGATATAATCAGTTAAAATGAATTCGCTAAAAATAAAAAAAATATATAATTGTGTACTATCGCAAGTATTTTCAACATCTGGACAATTTCTTTTTGTTGGCAATCGCTTTGGCGATATTTTTGTACTGGAGTAAGTTTTCAAAATAAAACTGTTTAAAAATATTTACTATTATAAGCTATTTTTTAAGTATACAAAAGCTGGAACAAACTAATTTAACCAATAAACCAGCCGAAGATGCAGATGTCGATATGAAGACGTTTCCTCAAGGTCAAGGGCGGGATATCAACAGTCTTTGTTTCCATAACAACTTTTTAATAATTGGCACTATTGGCAATTTTTATGGTCTAAAATGGCACGAAGAACAACGCCATTTAAGTAGTAAACCTCACTGGGAGGTACGTATTCCCATGGATGCAGATGCAACCGAAGTCCCAGATGTTAATTACATGTGGATACGACCAGAGACAAATACGCTTTATGCTGGTTGTGGTGATAATGTTGTGTACCAAATTAGTTTGGAAGACGGCAGAGTTGTGCGTGATTATCGTGGACATTCCGATTTTATACATTCTGTAAGCGGTTGTGGTGTAAATACGATTGTTTCTGGTTCTGAAGATGGCACTGTCTGCTTATGGAACGAAAATGAAAAATTATCTACAGGAAAAATAATTCCAGCTGAAAACACTGAATTAAAACGACCAGAATTTGGTAACTGGATTGGTGCCGTTGATGCTAATAACGATTGGGTAATTTGTGGTGGTGGACCAAGGTGCGCTATTTGGCATTTACGTTCGATGAATACAACTGGCAGTTACTCATTTCCTGGCAAAGTTCATTTATGTTATTTTGTGAAAGATAAAGTATTAATTGGTGGCGAACACTACCAAGTCCAATTTTATCAATGGAACGGTAACGAAGAAGCAAGCGTTACTGTTGAAAATATTGCTTCATATACAGCAGTTTGGCATTCTAATCCATATAAGTTCATGTCAGTGGCAGGTTTCAGTAATAAATTACATATAGTAAAAGACTTTCTATTGGATTGTAAAATCGACTTATATGGCAATGTAAAAGAGGAGCAGTCAACAAAGGATGAATTCGCTTTTTAAAAATAAATAATTTGATTTTATTTCAATGTTACTTTAAGATTTATTTTCGTTAATCTAAATATTTTTGTAATTAAAATATTTATAAGCATTAGATAGTTATTTATAAAAATCTGTAACTTCTGTATTTACGCAAGTTTCTCTTTTTATGAGTAGAAGTTGTAGGTTACTTTTATCAACATTGTCAACAAAAGCGCACTCTCCATAAGATAGTTGGTTACTAGAAGAACGTATAAATTTCGGAAATTATTGTCATATTATTTATTTTTTAAAATAATACCTTTTTACAGCAAAATCTTCTAACATTTTAATAAACTTTCTTGAATTAATTTCTTCATCGGAACGCAGTTGCTTAGGTCGTGATGGATTATGGAATATTAGAAAGTAATCATCACCGTGGACTGTACCTATGGTATGCATATAATAAATGTAATAAATATTAGTATTATCTTAGATACATTAAATCATACCGAAATCAATATCATTTCGCTTAGACAAACTCTGACCAATACCTGCATCAGCAGGGTTATCGTAGATATAAGCATAAACAGCACTAGTTCCATATTTTTTATGTAAATAAATTGACTGCTCGACTCCATTTTTAAATAAAATATCTGTGTACATTTGCTGAACTTTATGATATGTATTTACGGAAAAATTTTCATTTTTCAAATACTTTTCCTTTAGTGACTCAGAATATTCATTTGTGTTGTGTACGGTATCTTTGTAAAAAAAAATTTGTGGCGCAAGTTCTAACCATCGTTCATTTAAAACTGTAATTAATTCTTCACCATTTTCGGAATTTTGTAAAAGTTCAGCAGCATTATAGCCACCGTCCTCAGCTGTGTATGATAAAAGCCAAGGTATTTGAGAAAAATTTCCTGATTTTATTATTTCTTCTGGCGTTTCATGCAAGAAATTGTCGCTCACATTTGAGTTTTCGATAACTGGACCGAATGTAGTAAATGGATTATAACCAAACACCAAAAAATGTCTTACAGCCGTTACAATATCTTCAGCGCATTTGGTTTTTAGGCACTGCTTAAGATCGTCAGAACTGTCCAGTCGTGTGCAATTTAAAACTTTACCCAATTCAAATGCCCGCTTACGGGGGTTATGTGTAATTACCCATGGATTCAATGCTGTACCACTAAAGGAAACAGCCGCATGCACATAGTCTTTAAAATCTTTTTGCAACATATGCAAATGAACAGATGTTCCACCGGCTGAAAATCCTACCGCTATCATACGGTCTGGATCTCCACCAAAATGAACAATATTTTCTTTAATCCATTTCAAGGCTAATAATTGATCTTTTAATCCATAATTTCCAGACAATGTTGTATCTTCTGTACTTAGAAAACCCAACGGCCCTAATCTGTACGTCATTTTAACAACAATAGTTTGACTTTGTTGCATAAAACGTTCATGATTGTTAGCTGCTAATGAACCAAACATGAAAGCACCACCATGTATTAATATAATAACAGGTAAAGAACGTTCTGCTCTATCAGTTTCTGTTTGATTTAGTTTCGATTTGTATATATTGATTGTAAGACAATCTTCTTCGCCTGCTAATTTATTGTCTCCATTCTGATATTGATCCCATTGCATGCATTTAACTGGAGCTTTAGTGGCATCAAAAACTTCTGTCCATTTTCGTTCGTACTTTTTCGGTGACTCAAAACGTAATTCACCCACAGGTGGTTCAGCGTATGGTATCGATTCGTAGCTATAGTAGAAACCATTATCCTTTCCTTTTAGTTTTCCATATGGTAACTGAATTATTAAATTATCTTGCATTTCTACATCTCCGAATGCAAAACATACGAGACAACAAAGTAAAAAAACTATACCAAAAACTCTACACATCTCAGCACGCCGATGGCCCGTATCAACTGAACTCGGACTTTAGAAAATGTAGCTAAGCAAGTTCTGAAATTCAAAACGCACACATACAAATATCAAACATCTATTAATTTTATATAATTTTTTTCTTATCTTTGCAAAACATTGTTTTAAATATGCTATCAGCCTTAGTATTTAATTTTCTTTTATAGAAATAGTTTTTAAATACATTTATATCATAATTTATGTATTGAATCGATTAGTTTTTAATATTGTTTTTTTTTTTTTGTAGAAAAGCTCCAACTACGAGTCATTAATTCATCAAAGTGCATTAGTTTAAGAAAGTACCGAGTAATTAATATTAAATACTAATAAAAAAAGCAATAAAAACTTTGAAATACATTGGCAATCTAATGTAATTCAATCATACATATATAAAACAATATATTTTTGTACATTGATTTAAATATCTTCAAAGTAAGATAAACGAAACAATTACTAAAAATCTCAAACATATATCACTGTGCCACATTAAGTTCCCCTTTTGATTTTTCAACGATTTCAAGTTAATTAAATGTTGTTGAACTTTAAACTTAAAATTGGTTTTAATTGTAGACATCTGGTTCTCTGATCTAATAACGAGTTAAAGTTGAAAACCTGAGATTACAAAGGGGTTATAAAAAAAATTCCTTTCGAGTCACAAAATTTATAAGAATTTTGAGTAACGAATTTCGCGTCTGCAGCAAACTTACTAGGAATAAATAGAGAAATATTTGTATCGGCTTACACAAAACTCCCCCACTACGTTCCAAAAAAGGGATATTTCAAGTATTTTTTAAAAAAATTTTTTAGAAATTTAGTTCAATGTATATTTGAAAAACCTTTTTTTTTGCAAGAGAAACAGAGAAGTGTAGAAATAAATATCTAAGTAAAAATATTTATCTATTTATACAGAGTAAGATTGTTAACCGCGACCGAGAAATTGCTAAATAAAAATTATGTAAATTTTTTAAAACCAAAATTTTTAAATTTATTCCGTTATTGTCACAAATACTGACATCTATAAGAAAAGCAGCTTTGAACTTAGGAGCCTCAAATTAAACTTTATTCTTAGTTATTCTTAGTTTAAAATTAATTTTAATGTTAACTCACAAATAAATAAATATATCGCCGTGTGCAACGTAATACTGAATTCAGACGAGAGTTTTGTTTTTGTAATTTTAGCTGTCATGTTTGTAATTGACAGTAATATTTTGTAATCTAGTATTAAACACGAGTGTTTTATTTGTAATTTAAGCTGTCAAAAATATTTATTTTGCAATCAAAGCAACAACAATTGACAGCTCAAATTACAAACATGACAACTAAAATTACAAGCAAAACTCTCGTGTGAATCCAGTATAATACCACCACACGTAGTTATAACACAAGACAGAATCTTCTGAAAAATTCGCACCTTTTTATATTCATTTGCCGAGCTTTTCGTATAGCGCACATAAAGTCGTTTTCAGCTGTGTTGTATTGTTTATATTTATTTTCCTGTTTGCATATCTTATATATCGCGTGATGTGCTCACCGTTTTATTATTTTTATTATTCCCCTTTCAATCTTTTGTTTTGTTTATATTAACTGTTCCTTTTTTTTTGGTTTTTTTTCTTTATTTAGAAATAAAATCTTATGTAATAAAAATATTACAAAATTCAAGTGCTATTTAAGAGTGGCTCTATATGAGTATATAGAGCTATATGAGTATATAGAGCTATATGAGTATATAGAGCTATATGAGTATATAGAACTATATGAGTATATAGGGCTATATGAGTATATAGAGTATATATGAACTATTGTTTTTAATGAAATAATTAATGTATTTAATTTCAGGTAATTTATCTTTTAATTGATAACGGACCGTAGATTAGCATATCTATCTGTGCGTCCTGAGGTGGACTTAAGGTTTATTAGAACGGGGTATCGACTTTTGTGAATACATTTAGAGTTCTGTCCTTGATATATTTTTTCATTGAGTCGATCCGTAGATCTCTATACATGTTTTAAGTTATAAAATAAATAGCATAAACATAAACAACTTATTTCAACTTATCCAACTAATCGAATCATAGTAGCCAAGATTACAAGATTAAATAAAAACATCAATTAACATCCTTAGTTTGACTATTAATTCTTATTTATATTTTAACTTCTAATGCAATAAATAAAATTTTTTGTAAGTTGACACATTTTTAATTTGTGCACAATTTTTGATATTTGTTTATGGCAACGTTGATAACAAACACTTCGCTTGAATTGAAGGCAGTTTGTTAGCAAAATTTAAGTTTTATCAAACATTTGACAGATGCGCGCTATATTTAGTTTGTTTATGTTAGAAAATAATAATAAGAATGGAATATCTGAAACCCAAAATCCTGGTGAGTAAATATGTCGTCAATTTCTAGAACGAAACTATATCACAGTACCTCATAGTCTGCAACTATTGAAGTTATTGGTAAACAATATAATTTGGAACCGAACAATATATGTCATATTGGAAGTCAACGTCCAGAGCTTCCCAATGATATTTTAATTGAAGATCAGGTATTTCTAATTCTTTTTTATATGTTTTTAAATTATAATCACTATTATTTATAGTCCATAAAAAATACGCATGCTGCTGTTACAAACTTTGATGGAAACTGGTACATTATCAGTCGCACTGGTAAGGATACTTATGTAAATGGAATAGAAACAACACGTTGTCCTGTGAAACTTAAAGATCAGGACAAAATAAAATTTGGTGATATAGAAGCTCAATTCAACTTAAATAAAACCACTGAGGTTTGCAATATGTGTTATATATATATTTTCAAAGTATTAATAATTATTTCTAAGGTAACTAATGTAAGTAGTGGCTATGAAGATATCATTAGTTCTAGCCCAGAACTGTTGTCAAGGCGGCATTTAATATTTAAAAGCAATGAAAGAGAAAAAAATTGTGATAATGTTATTGACACAACCTGTGACGATAGTTTTGTGATCAATGCAACACAAAACAACTTGGAGATAAGCAAAGAAAATGATGAAATGTGTTTTATTCCCGAAACTCAAGCTTTGCCAACTTATATCGATAAAAGTAATTTGGAAGGTGGTTTTGGAGAAATTATGGATTCAGATGAAAGTCAGTTTTGCATTAATTCCGAAGCGTTTAAAGATGTTGGAGATAATGTTGATATTAATAATTCAGTGAACGATGCATTAACTTCACTTGTAATTCCTTATATTCATCATGATACAGTAATGTTATTTGATGAAAAAAGGGCAGATGATAATGTATTAAACTCTGCAGAACAAAGCTTAAGCAATATATCTAAGAATTGCGTTGGTAAAAAAAGTGAAACGGACACATCAGACAAATTAAATTTGAGCACAACAAATAAGATTGGTGAACTTGAGACAAATAACATCGATGAACGGGAAGGTAGTTGTACGCCAGATTTATTTGATGAAATTATCACATACCAAATTAATCGTGAAAAAGAAAGCCAAAAATCTCCCTGCTCAAAGAACGAAGAAAGCAATGCCAATTCGCTTTCTCATCATTCACCACCAGTGGATGATAATAATTTATTACCTACTCAGAAATTTAAACAAAATACACTCGACGAAAACGGTCTAATTTCCAACATTAGCCAAAAAGAAAATAAAGAACCAAAAAAGCCAATTACAGATTTTTCTGGTCTTGAGGCTACACAAATTTTTACTGGTAAGTTAATATAAAAATGTATTGTCAAAATGATTAAAATGTTCTTTATCTTATTTTTAGAGCCTGATCTGGAAACGCCACAATTTTTTAAATCAAAATATATAAAACCTAAGGAGTTACCTCAGATTGAGATCTTAAATAAAACTGAAGTAGTAAATAATAATAGCAACGATATTAATCATGATGAGTGGTTAGATCAAGTGACCCGACCTAGAATATCGACTGACTTTATAGAATTACTTAAATCATCGAAGGCTAATACTAGTAAAAACAAAAAAGTATCTAACTCTCCAGCAACTACAGAAAAGAAATTACGCGTTAATATGAAAGAAATAGATACGAAAGAAAAAAGTCTGTCCAAAAGCTTAAAGTCTATATATGGAAATAATTCCACCGACTCTGAAACTTCCGCATACAGCAATGATGATAAAAATGAACTTAGGAAATATCTTAAAAGAAATTCTGATGATTCTTTAAAATCAGGTGGCAAAAAAAGAAGAATAAGTAATTCTTCGCAAGATAAAAATAAATCATCATCTGAACAAAGTGATGCTTCAAATCAACTAAACAAAAAAGAAAAAATTTTAAATTGTAAAGTAAACTTAAAAAAATCTATTCTTTCAATTGAAGTTAGTGCCATTGAATCGAAATTAGGTAAAAAAAGCAAGGGATTAGACACATCTAAATTAAAACATAAAGATCATAAAAAAATACGCTCGACTTCTGAAGAAGAAACAAAACATTCTACTCCACCCAAACCACAGTTAGCAAAAAAAGATGAGAAAAATTCTGCCACAAAGAATTCTAAATCTCATGATTTAAAAAAGAAAAAAGTATCAACCGACAAAAATGCAAGCAAATCCAACGAAAAAGAAATATTAAATACTTCTAAAGATGACAAAACGGTAACTCACTCAAATACAACGAAACGAACAACCACTGAGAAAACTGAAGGGCAAGTGATTGAAAAAAAATCAAGACGGTCTGCAAAGGATCCTAAATCTGTTGAAAAAAAACAAAAATCAATGAATACATCAACGCCATTAGTTGAGAAACGTAGAAATACTAGATTGGCATCTGAAACTGAAGCTCAAATTCCTAACGCAACGACATTAAAAAAGGTTGATAAAGAATCACCTGGAAAACATGCAGTCAAAAAGAAAATCACAAAACCTGCAACTCAGGAACCTGCAACTACTGATAAACGCAATACTAGACATAATGTTTCAAAAAATAAAAGTCCACCAAAAGCAGGTAAAAGTAAATATTTTATTAATAATCATACAAAATTTTAATTTATTATTGTAATTTCAGAAGCAAGTAATTCGAAAGAAGAAGCGGCAAAAGCCATTAAAGCACAACCCACAAAAAAATTGGTTTCTGAAGAACATGCGTTGCCACGTAGAACAACACGACTAATGTCATTTAAACGTACTGAGGACAAGGAAGATGTTAAAAAGAACTCCAATAAGTCTGAACACGATGCTTCTGCAAGTAAGGATAAGGAGGTTTCGAAAGAACAGAAAAAAGAAAAACCTCCAATACTTGTCTCATTCTCCACTATTGATTTAAGTGATATTCTATATCTTAAACACCAATCAAACAGTACGTATATACTTTCGTCCAATAAAACATATATTTATTTATTTATTTTGTCAAATTTAAATAAATAAATTGATTCTAATTTAAGATTTGTGGGATGAAGCTGATCATGCCAAAAATTGTGATGTGCTTATTATGAATAAGGCAAGTCGCACTATAAAATTTTTAATCGCGATCGCTAGAGGCATACCAATTGTAACATTGGATTGGCTATCCAAAAAATCTGCAAATAGCAATGATTTGTCAAACTGCATGTTGGAGGATAAAGAATTTGAAAGGAAATACAACTTCAAGTTGCTGAATGCATTGGCAAAATCGCACAAAGCTAAACTGTTTAAAGGTTATGAATTTTCAATGACAGAAAACATAAGTCCCGGAAACAAAGATATGCAGGGTAACGCACATTATTTACATAATTATTATAAGTCAATAATCAAGTTCTTTAACTTTTTTATTCAGATCTCTTAAGTTGCACTGGTGCCATTGTACACACAACAGTTTCATCAAATGCAAAAAATTCGAAAAGCAAAAAGAATATAAAAGCAATGTACCTAATCTCATCAGAAAAAGATAAAAACATATGGGAACACTGTTCGAAATATAATAGCAAACTGCATGTTGTAAGTACTGAAGGTGTGATGTTAGCTGTAATGCATCAGGATGTTATTTACTTAGACATACATAGCCTCAAGTAAAATAAGTTCATATAATTAAAATGTATTTGTTAAATATTGTTAGCCCTTTTTTCTTGCATAGTAGTGTATCGCCAAATCACAAAGTTGAATGCTCAAAATTTAAATTTATTTTTTAAGTAAATTATATTGTATTGTTATTTCTATCCATTATTCGTATGATTATTTTTTTTTGTTTTATATAAATTGATTCGTAAATTCGTTCACTAAATTAATTGGCTACCACGAGAAACAACCCATATTCGAAGTCATATAAAAATTCGTCAAAATTGTAATTTTCTGAAAATTATATATAAATAAAAAAAAATATTTAAATATATATACTTCTGTTTTTTTTAATGCTAAACTTGCTATGTAATAATTTTAAGCCAACAACCAACAATTAGAAGATCCCTAAATGTTAAATCTTTTAAAAACAAAAATTGCTAAAAATTAATAACTACAAATTGTGTGTTTGGTTGAAAACTGTTTAATTCAAATTCATCAACTACTACGGAATATATTTTTAACATTAAAAAGTAAAAGATTTATTATTTATGTACCATGTGTGTGAAAAACTTATCGCATATGAGATAAGTTTGACTGTGGGGGACCAGTAGCAGCCATAGCGGAACCAGGACCCAGCAGCACCTGCTTCTGTTGCGATTTTTGCATCTCTTCCATCTGTGCACGCTCAGTCTCAAAGATAACGGGTGCAAACAGGATAACTGAACTTGTGAAGAAGATCCACGAAGCATTGCATGTGAACTTATAAAGCTTTTTGACACCACGGACAGTCACGTCAGTAACCTTGCCTGTGAAGCTGCGCAATGGCTCCGGAAACATTTCTGTGAGACCCCATAGACGTTCAGACAGCGTTTCATTTGGCTCCTAAAATAATAAAATGATTAAGAAGTATTCAATATTGAAATTTTTTATCTTAATACATATACTACAAAACTGAAAGAGAGAAAGTCTATATTACTATTTAGCAAGGCGTTTGCAAATGTATATATATATTACTAAATACTAACTATAACTACATAACTATAATTAAAATACTAATACGTATAAGTATATAATGTTAATTATATTAAGTAAGCATACAAAACTTATACCATCAAAATTATGTTAATTATTTCTGTAATGGTATATTCGCTTAAATAGAAGAGGGGATGGGACATTAAGGAATAAGTTAATACTCCATTATCTCCACTGTCATACTCCTTGAGGAAATAGCATTTCAAGAAGCTATATAGCATGATAATAATAAAATAATAGTGCATAAACCTGTTATTTTTCATTTTCCTCTACTTTATAAATTATTTTTACAAAAAACAATATGCAGATGGTGCTAGCTAAGATTAATAAGCGGCATTTTAAAATTTGCTTATTTAAATGTAAATATTTCAGAAAAGCCAAATACCGACTCTGCGTGAAATACTTTTCTACATAATTGAAATGAAATCAATTTAGTTGAGCAATTCATACATAGTGCGTATAATGCATGGCTTGATTACTTTAGTTTACGATGGTGAGAATTTTAAAAAATTCTCTGTGTTATCAAGGTAAACCGTGCAATCTAATTTAATTAAAATTTATATTTAGTATGTAAGAACGCAATTAAGAAAATTCAATTACATTCTTGAAACATTTTTTCTTGTTTTATCAATACGATATTCTAGTTGCTAAATCAATTAAATCATTTAGGGAAACCATAGAAAAGTATTGTTCAAGTTAAATAATTGCCTAATAAATGTGAGGTTAAGTAATAATTGCGCACAGATGGCTGTAAATACACCACAAATATCAAAAATTGTTAATATGATATTAAGCATGTTTCACTTACATCATCATAGTTTTCCGGCTCGTCACTACGGTTGTTACTGCCCTGAAAATAAAAATAATGTTAGTTTAATTTAAAAACACTTTAGTAAATTATAGTTTAGACCATTAATATCACACCCTCCACAAAACGTCAGAACCAAAGGTAAAACAAGAAAAATCAATAACCCCAACAGCTGATACCATAGTACACTTTTTTTGGAATTAATGAATGTTCAAGGAACTTTTATTAACATTAATTTTGAATTCATAAAATCAATAAAAACATCACATCACGTATATAAATGAATAAAAACAATGCACTTAGAATCTTACAGTTTTCGCCACCACAGTACGACGCTCTGGTGTCTCTTCCTGACTGCCCCCCAACGATGACATGCCGCTATCTTTCTCAATAATTTCTATATCTGGATCAGAGTCCAGCAAATCCTCAATTTTTACGATATCCAGTTTTGCAGCTTTTTTATATTACGAGAAACAAAAACAATTTATCTGCACGCGTGATGCCGATGTTGTTGGTATACTTTTAAAATGCACTTAATACAATTAGCAATCAGAGTGAAAATATTTTGATTCTATATATATATATATTTTAATTGATTTTTTTATTCAATTGTTGTGCATCCAACACATTCATACGCACTTTTAACGAAAAAAAGTAAAAATTCTTTCTCTACTCCTATCTTTGGTTTGACGTTTGTAAAGCACGCATGTGGAAGGTGGACTTCAGTGGAATCTCGTTGTTACGTCACTTGACAGTAGACGAAATGTTTGAATAAATGTGCTTATATATTAAAATTATAGTTTTAATACGAATTTAATATAAATTTGTATATATACCATCTTTAAATTGTTTATGCTCAGAACCCACAACACACTGGTACTCCAATAACTTTTTTAACTAATATTGACAATTTATTTTGAAACAAATAGCGCCAACTAAAATTTAGCGAAATGTTACTATTTTGACATTTGAATTTTATGTGGAGAGAAAGGCGCGATTTATAAGCTTCTATCAAAAAGTATACTTATTCAAAATTTGTACTTATGAATTTTGTGTATTTAATGCAAATTTGTATTTAAAAAAATTAAAATATGATACATATTTAAAATACCGATGGTTGCTCACTTCGCTTATCATAATTGGTGTTACGAATTATGTGTTTTGCGGCTTTTCTTACCATTTTAAACTGATGGCTTCTCAAAAATATACTAAAAGTTAACACAAACAGTAGTTTGGTGTTAATATAACTTTGTGAATTTTGAAATTTGAAACAACTTTTATCTTTATTTTAACAGAACTAATTTTTGTAAAATTTGTTTTAAATTTTTTCTATCAAAATATTATATTTTTGTCAGTGGTATATAGCAAAAAAAAAAATTTAATTTGGTATAAAGTTGGTATGATATATTAACTAGTATCAGGAAAGAATACGTTCTTGAAATAAATTATATAGAATTATTAACTGAATTCAGAATTTTTGTGCATTAATCTAAACTTAAGTAATTAGTAATTGCAAATCAGTATTGTAAATATTTTAGAACAGCTACTTGTTTTAATAATGATAAAATATAAGGTGTGTTCCACGAGCTACTCGTAATAACTTTGAGTTACACTGTGTATACACAAGTGCGTTTCACCAGTAAATTTTCGAGTAAATAAAAGCATCTGGGTGAGCGTAACATCCCTGTCGAAATTTGAAAATTTTATACAGACTTTACTCTTACATTTTATTTCAAGTAAAATTTGTGTTGATCTGTGAATAGAATTTAGAATTTTATGTAGAATTAAACATATTCAACATATTTATATAGGTAAATAGACTATTAGATTCAGAGGTATGTTACGATTGCGGATATTTGTAAAGATAGCTATTTTGAGCTACATTTTCTACTACATTATATATAGGTATAGTCAGATTTTTGAGATATTGGGTCGTTAAGTAATCAACTTTTTAAATTTTTTCCCAAACAAAAACTAGACGCAATACAGAAGGGCAACTAGTACATCAATTTCAAACGACGGCTGTTAAATTCAAATAGTTTTTTAATACAAAGTTTTTTAATATGTTGTACTTAGGAGTCAAGAATTTAAATAGTAGTACTATATACATAAATATATATGACTTATCTGTGTTGTATTTTAAAGTAATAATAGTATAAGTTATTGCCTGCACGGAAGGCAATCATGAAACGCAACATTTTGTGGTTGTCGTCTTTGGTTAGATATGAGGATTACAAAAGTTTGCGGTCATTCATTTTGCTTTATTTTTAATTACATTTTTCGCTTAAACTTTCAACTTTAACTGAAAATAAAAAACATGTAATCAACATTTTTAGAACTCTTTATTATTTAAGAAATTAATTTTTGTCAAAAAATCATTCATTAAAAGCTCAAGAACACAAAAGAATAGAAACAATATATCAATTTTATAATGAATTCAGTTATTTAGCAGACTTGTTTAGTTTGTGTAAAGAATGCAGTTAAGAAAAACAACAATAAAGTTATAAAGTCAATGAATACGTATTCTGAAAGCTATGTGCTAACTGACAGGTGCAATAACAGTCTTAGTAAAATTTATACCATCTCTGTGTTTTGACTATATTGCATTTGACTTGACGTACGAATAGTATGGGCCGCCTACGTGCATTATGAATAATTTTGTGTGAGTTCTTTTTGCAAATTGCTGAGTGCAACAATTGTTGCAAATTTTTGAATATTTCAAATATTGCTTCAAATCATTTTTTAAACATTATTTTGCGTGATATAATATAAAACTTTTGTGGCAAATTGTTTTTCGTTATCAATTTTTTGTTATAATATTTATTTGGAGAACTCTTCAAAATTAACAATTTGATTGTAAACAGCGCTTCCTCTAATTTATATATACTTTGTGGTAACTTCCAGATGTCAGTTTGTGGACTCCTTACCAAAGAGTTGTACGGTAATTAAAGTCTTATTCATACTGCAATTTATAAATTATAATTTTTAATAATCGCTTATATTTTAAAACAGCTGAAGAATTTTATTGAATCATCTCTTCTTGTTTTTCGCAGAATTGTTCCAATTACTTAACTGAATATACAAAAATATGCTGTAAAATCATATTTTGAAGCATACATTCTTCATAAAATTTTGTTTTTTGCATATCAGCTACCAAATTCAACAAAATAAGTCTTAAATAAAATTACTGAAATGTCATCTGCAATATATTTGGAAAACTACTTAGATGGTTTAGAATCGCTACCTACAGAGCTAGAGCGTAATTTTAAGCTTATGCGTAAGTTAGATGATCGGGCTCAAACTGCTATGAAGAGCATTGACAGTCATGCAAAAGAGTTTATGCGAAAATTATCAAACAGCGGCAATGCAATGAGTGATGAGGAACGTAAAGAAAGGCTACTTGATATTCAATCGCTATTCGGTAAAGCAAAGGAGTACAGTGATGATAAAGTTCAGTTAGCAATCCAAACGTATGAACTTGTGGATAAACAAATAAGGCGTTTAGATAATGACTTGGCAAGATTTGAAGGTGAAATTCAAGAAAAATCTGTATCTGTACGAAGTAAATCTGAAGAAGCCATTTTAAAAAAGAATCGGAAAAAAACTACTGAGGCTAAGGTGACTGGCAAGAAGCGACGCCCTTCTTCATCAGAAGATGACTTAAGAACAAATGCACCAGGTATAAGTGGCAGCATAGCTGGAGTACAAGGCAGCAAAAAAAAGAAGCAGAAAATAAATACTGAAAAGGAAGTTCGACGTAAAGGCATTAAGAAAACGAATGATGTGAATGACTCAGAGAAAGAATCATGTCATGCTTCAATTACACATCCTGCCGATGTTTTAGATATGCCAGTGGATCCTAACGAGCCAACATATTGTCTTTGCCACCAAGTATCATATGGCGAAATGATTGGTTGTGACAACCCAGATTGTCCTATTGAATGGTTTCATTTTGCATGTGTTGGCCTCACAACTAAACCAAAAGGAAAGTGGTTTTGTCCAAAATGTACACAAGATCGAAAGAAAAAATAATTGTTATAAGCAATTGTTACGTTTCTCTAGTTTTAGTTAATATTTTGCCTTAATTAATAAGAATATACAGTATCTTTTTATCTATAAGATTCACATACATTGCATATGTTTACATAGAAACAGTGTTTCAATTTACATAATGTAGAATTAATTTATATATTATAAATTTAATACAAAATAAAGTTTTTGTAAAAATATTCCTTAATGAACGTTTTTAATATATTATAGTAAGTAAAGTATATTATTTTTATAAAAAAAAATGATCTATTCTTCAACTATTAACTTGTTTCTCCGTTATTAAGAGAAAAGTTTTTAGTTTATCACTTGAGCACCTAAATATTGATCTTGAAGAAGAAGCACACAGAAATAAAATTGGTTAATGTATTACAAATAATCATAATCCATAGTATAAAAATTTGTAGGATATATTATACAATTTTATACTTCACCATAAATCACATAGCTTTAGCCAATTTGTGATGTCTCCATAAGCGAAGGGTTTTTCAAAATACACAGTCTGTCCAAAGCTCGACATAAGAATAAAGAAACTTACATCAGAGGTTACGTATATATAAGTACATTTGCCGAATAACACCAAGTAAAAAGAATGGTATTACATTCAAATCTCTACAACTAAATTTCTGACACAAAAAATAGATTGTACCCGAAGGAAATCACTTTTGATGTGGCGCCTCAGGTAAGTTTCATTTCCAAAGCAAGTACGTCCTTAGAACTAAGACCTTTCTTCTTAGTAGAATATTACTCTGTCTCTGCTAGAGACTAGCATTTATATGCTAGTTTTTATTTCTATCAATAAAATAATTACATTAATAATTTCTAACCTCAAATTTTTATTAAAAAAATGCAGAAACATTTTGCAAATAAATTTTAATTTTTATTTCACATAGATATTTTTTTAGCTTTTGTTTATATATATATATATATTTATATATGAATATTTAAATAATTTATAATTTACTTGTAGTAATTATTTATAATTTGTATAAATATATATTCTTATTAATTTCATATTTTAATAACTTATAATTTCCATGTAACAATCATTTTATATATATATATATATAATATATGAAAAATATATATAATTTTAAGTTATTTCTTGAAGATATCTGTTAGTACATGCTGAAAATCTCTTTCTTGACTATTCTAAAATTGAAAAATAAAAATAAAATATTATATATTAAGTAGGATTATTAAAATTAATTTGTTTTCATTGATTTAAGATATAAGCATATATATTATATGAATTATAAATTTAGTTAACTAAGTTCCTTATTTAAAGAAAAATACATTTTATGCATTACTTTATCTGCCCTGAAGGACGTCCGTCATATTTTAAAAAAATATATTTGTATACTTTTTTTATGTTTTACTATTTTATTGAAACAGAAATTGTTAAGTAATTTTATTATTTCTTTCAATTATATTGATTTTACTTACTGACTATTTGTATACAACTATAACACTATATACATAAATAATTATTACTTTTGTTGTTGTGATATTGTATGAGTTTTTGTTTTAGTTTTAGCAATATTTTGAGCTATTGTTGCTTTTTATCTTGACATTTCAAAAGGCCACTATTTTGTTCCATTTCTCTATAGTAGATCATTTTTAAAAATTCTTTAATACTTTACTCATTTGCTATTTGAGAGTTAACTATGTTATTGAATTAATTGTAGTTGTATATTAGATTTAGTTAAATTTAATTTTATTACATTGTTATGTTATAGTTAAATAATTGCTTTTATAGAAAAAAAATAAACCGATGCCATATTTTAAAGCAATGTTTAAGATAATCAATTATGGATAATATTAAGAAATATTATGCATTATTAATAATCAGTTACAAAATTTTATATTATTGTTAAAATATTTTTGATTCAATTGTTTTTATTAATGTAATTTTGAAAATTCATAATAAATTTAAACTTTATCAATTAAATAAATATTAATTATTATATTGATACAGACAATGTATTTAATTGTATTAATTGATATACATTTTTAACCTTATATTTAACAGCACACTGAACATAGCTTACCACCGTGGAGGAGGTCACATAGCTCCACAGCAGACACAGTGATTTACTTGCTTGGAATTTAAAAAATAAAAAATTATTATTGAGGTGGTTTAATTTTGTATGTCTTTTAAATTAATAATAAAATATTTACTTTCATGAACTAATAAAAAAAGTGTACATTTTCTGTTATTTCGCAACGATTTATACAAAAAACATTATATTATATTGTATTAAATATTAAAAGTAATTCCTTAAACTCATTATAAAATTTTTTTTTTGCAAACAGCTTATAGATCACAATTACCACCATCGATTACTTTAATAAGCGATAAACGCACAAGTGTTTACACTTCGGAAACTCGATTAACGAACAGTGGATACAATTAAAAAGAAAATAAATCACACTTTACTTAGAATAAGAATCAAATTATGAGAAACTAAATTATTTAACATTAAATAATGTATTATTTAAAATTAAAAATAACTTTTATTTTTTGTTTGATTCACTTGCATCAAGCAAAAAATTGAACAGTATCGAAAAAGCGTTTTTTGTCAATAAAAGCAATTAAAAAGAAATTGATTTGCTTGTACGCCATTATCTAAACACTTGTTTGTATGAATTTTGTAACGAACTTTAATTAATTGGTAAACATTTACTGCTTTAACTCCGTTTGTGTAAACGAACTGTAACCTTAAACTGCTTTCTATGTAAGGTAAATTACATTTTAATATTAAAGTTTAATATAAAAAATAATTCCCATTCAATTGCCGCACTTCGTTTTAGATTTATTTTAATTTAAAATAATATTTAATAAAGAGAATTATTTTTATTATATTAATAAAACTATAGCCGACTTACTATAGTAATACAATAGTTAAATATTTCTTCTTATAGCCAAAATAAAGATTACATACATATACCTAAGAATATACTAAACTATAATATTTTATTAAAAATTTTTAAATTTAATCCATATGCATGCATATTTATAATAATTATTATTAAATTTATATATATATATTATTTAATACGTATTTTATATAATTTAACGACATAGATATATTAGTAAATTTTGGAAGATAAAATTTTGCTAAGTATTGAAATAAAAGCAAAAATATTTTATAATTAACACTAAATACTTAATTATTAAATCTCTTTAATTTATAACACTCTTAGAAGCACTATTTATTTCTTAATACATATAATATATATACATATAAATGTATATTATTTGATTTTTATAAAATTTGTATTTTTATTCCCTAATAATTTTTTTGTTGTTAATTTTTATATTCATATATTGTAAATATTTGCACTGCACATATTATTGATAATAATAAATTTATATATTTCAAAATTTAACCTACATGTAATATTCATAAAAAAGTTATTTTAATATTAATTTTTAGGTAATTTATTTTTTATCATTTTAGATAATTATTTTAAGAAAGAAGAATATTAATGCCTTATTAGAATATTTATTAAACTAATCATTTAAATAAAAAGTGATTATAAAAATAAATATAAAAGAAAAAAATTTATATATATATATATTTATATATATATATCTAACGTATGAAAAATTGAATGTTAATTTAAAACAAACATGTATTTATTTTGATATTTAAGAAAATTATTAAATCATTAATCATTATTAAAAATATAAATTTGTTATATTATATTATTTAATATATTTAAATTTATATAAGTAATATAATCAACAAAGAAAATCTAGAGCAGATTAACAAAGAAAGTTAAAGTTATTTAATTTTTATGAATTTGATTTTTTTATTTAATTATAAGTTTAATTTATATAAGCATATCCACGCAGATCGCCAACTATCATTATCATTATAAAGTATGAAGTATTTGATTATAATTTTAATCTATATAAACATTACGAAGTACTTCGCAATTATCATTAAATTCTTAAAGATTCTAAAAATGGAGTCATTTAAACAAATTAAAGAATTTTGTATTTCAAAATGATTAAATATTATAAAATTAAGTTAAATAAAAATTTGAATAAAAAAATGTTAAATTTGTAGTATGGAAGCTATGTAAGTTGAATTACTAAATTTAATAACAAATATATTTTAAATAACACGAGAAATATATTTAAAAAAAAATAAATTTTAATTTTATTTTATTTAAATTTAAAAAAGCAGATAATATTGTATATTATTGAATATAATATTCAGGATTCATATAGAATCAGAATTAGGATTTTTTCTAATATTAAAAAAATTTTAGAAATTAAATGTTAGTAAAAATTAAAAAAACTTTCTTGTATTGAAAAATTTTATTTTTTTAAAAATTAAATACAGGTAAAAATAATATTTTTTTTATTTTGAAGTAAGAGTTATGTGTTCTAGATATATGAAAAGTTAAATAAAAATCAATTTAATTTTATAATGAATAAGGTAAAATGAAATAACTGCAGGATGTATATATTGCTTATTATTTATTATAATTTTTTTAAATTTATGCATGTTTTTCAATAAATTTATTTTAAGTTTTTATTACAGCACCCTTAAACACAAAAGCGAAATTAAATAAAATATCACTCTCACTCTCAGACTTATGCGAAAATGTTAATATTTTTAATTTAAATGATCTTTTATTATGTTCAATTATTTTAACTATATTATTAAAAATCCTTAAAGCAAACATATATTTAAATTTAAAAACACTTTCCATATAATTTTTTGTATTGTTTTATTATATATTTGATTTATTTAAATTATATTTATAAATTAACTTAAATTATTGTTTTTTTTTTTAATTTTCAAGTATAAATTAATATAAATTACAATTAACGATTTTTTATTTATATTAAAAACTTAATAACTAAAATAATCTTTTCTTTCTTCCTGCATGACGGTTCTCTGTACTTTTTTCTATAAATTTTATAAAAATATTTTTTGATTTTATTGTTATTTTATTAGGTGGTTGTTGTAATTTAAGGAAAACAGATTCGTCCTTTCTACCTTCTCATTTATATAAACAATATTTGTATTAACTTGAGTATGTTATTGAATATATAATTGTATTTATGTATATAATTATATTTAATTACAAAATGTTTGTAACGATTTAATATTATTTTGATTTGTTAAATGACATTGTTTGTGTGGGCTCGGTGTCCTTACAGCTTACAGCAGAAGTCTCGTAAATTCTGAAAGAATAAAAAAAATTTTTATTTTTTAATTAGGTGAATAAAATTGAAACTAGTACTTATTGCAATTAAAAAAAATATTTCTGTTAAATAATTTTTAAAATAGTATATGTATTGAATAATTTCTAAAAAAAATAACATAAATACATTTTTATTTATTGAAATTAGTTAGTATACATTTTACATATAAGTTAATTTGAGATATTACAATTGTCGTTTTTAAAAAATGAATTTACATGTATTTATGTGTTTTTACGAAGCATAAGTTACTTTTTTTAAATTTTTTTATATTATATATATTATTTTTTATATTATACATATAGAAATAATATTAAAATATGCAAACATTAATTTTAGTTTTTAATTTTAAACAAAAATAAAGTCATTATGCAAAGATCCACTAACAGTGTATTTGATATTTAAATATTAAAATATCAAAATATCAAAAGTCAGTCTTATTAATAAGTAAGACTGTAAACTTATCTTAATTTATTAAACATCAAAATATTAAAAATAATATGTAAACATATTAATATAAATATAAATAGGCTTACGAAAAGTAGTGAACTACAACAACAACATTTTTTTTCCTATTATTTTAATTAATCAAATTATTGGTTGACCATACAGCTGTTTGGTATACTACCCATCATCAGTGGTCTTGAAAATAAATAAATATAAATAATATTTTATTTATATTAAAATGTCAAAATATAGAAATTTCAAAAAAACTGTGAGAGCCTATAACCATAACCACTATTGTGTTTGAATAAATTGGAAATTTTTTTAATAGACTTTAGTTTAACGATTATATTTTTAAACCAAAAACCTATAAATAATATAATTTTTAGTTAGATCCTCTGCGTTTACGAAGGTGATAAACTATTAAGTTTGTTTAAAATTATTGACTGAAATAAGTGTTTTATTTATTTTAATATTATTCAAAAGCTATAAAGAACGACTGAAAGTCCGACATAAAAAACAAATATTATACATATAAATAATTCAGATCTGCGGTATGCAGATGTTAGATCAATCATCGAATAATCACGAAGCTTTTGAGGAATACATAAATTAGTCAGTGAAAAGGATGGGACCCCCAGCTATCAAAGAGTAAAAGTGTCCAGATGCACTAACTCGAAAAAGACTCAACATGAATATGAACTCATTTTCTTTTTAACAAAAAATGCCTTCTTTAAAATTCACAGAAATTTCAATAGTTTTTGGTTAACTGAAAATGAATCTATATCTAAATATAAAAGAGTTAACAATAATAATTATAAATAAACTATAAAACTATATAAACTATAAATTGTTTTAATAAATAAACAGTTTCAGTCATTAACTTTATTTCTACGAATCAAGTAAGGCTCTTGTTATTGAAGTTTTTGCACAGACAATCAATAAATAAGGACAATTATGCTTTTCGTCGAAATTTTTGAAAGGACATAAAAAGAGTTATTCTAACAAAGTTTACTTAAATTAAATTTATTAACAAAGTTTGTCTACTTTTAAGCCATTATGCAAAATTGTGTTCGTTATATTAAATAATTTCCTATTTCTTTCGCATGTTTATTGAATTCTAGGCACGATCCTTGTCATTTGAGAGGTCAAACACGTTTTTCTCATAAAAGTGAAAATCTATAAAATGAATAAAAAGAAAATGGCGTGACTTCACTTTTATTTAATTTTTTTATTTTTTTTTGTTTTGTATTAATTACTTCCGTAAAAATGCGCAAGAAATTAAAATTTCTTTCAATCGATGAAATTACTCTACTGCGTTTTGAAGTAAAATATTTGAAACTTAACAAACTTTTATCGAGTCATTAAAATTAGAAAATAGTAAGACGTTTATTTTTATTATTTGTAGTGGATAATTGTTCAGTAATAAATATTTGAATGATACAAAAATAATAAAAAAAATATTAAAATTAAATATACGTTATCTTCTGTACTACCTATAAAGACATACTCTGAAATGAAAGAACAATTGTCAAGTATTTGTAGAGGAAAAAATATTTTTTATTTCAAAAGATAAAAAAATATTTTTTAATTGAATTTTAATAAAATGGATATTTAAGTAACGTTTAAGTATGTGAACATATAATAGTGTTAATCATTTAAGGTTCCCTACATCGAAATACGCTAAACTTGATTGATGATTCTTTATTCTTGACTCTGTCAATTATTAGAAAGAAATGATTATATTAGAAGAATAATAACAGCGTTGTATGGTCAGCCAAATTTCAATAAAATAAAAATAAAATTTTTGTCCTTGTCTTTTCTGTGCTATTCGAATCCGTCTAACTTTTAAATAGTTTGTTTTCTTCATAAAGATGTGTCACAGCAAATTAATAAATAGATATAAATAAACAGATAAAATATTGAGTTTTTGTTTTGTCTTTCTATTACAAAATAAAGTGATACAAACCTAATCGACAATTTTATAACAATAGAATAGAATTTTATTGCTCTATTTAGATATAAAATTGTAAGAATATATTACGCAATATATTTAATAAATTATCTATGTGTTTAAATGAGTAAATCCTATCTAATTAATAATTATTAAAGTAAAAGCAATACCATTACCTCTTCTCTGCAATCTATTTTATCGTTAACACAGTATAATTATTATAATTAGTAAAATTTCTTGAATACAGATCACAGATTAATTTCTCTAACTTTTAAAAATACGTAAGAATACCCAATTCAGATTACCATATTTGCAGTTCTAAGATGGAGTGGGAAGTCCGCTTAGAAATATTTTTAGTTGAAAAGGATATAAGAAGACTCTATCTCTTTTTAGTTCAAAAGGATATAGAGAGATCGATAACCGATCCGAGCTCGTCCGGTGTCTACCGAATTATAATTTCAGAAACGAATACACAAAATCAATAGATCACAATTTATTGATATACTGATGCTATCCAACAATACTATAAAAGTAAGTAAAACTGTGAAAAATTCAACTGAGGTCAATGAGTTGTCAGTGCACAACAACATTGATCTGGTTTCCAGAGCATCTATTCTTAGTACATGACTATTCTTAGTACAATACTGTTGCCTTTAAAAGCTTTCTTATAGTAACAGAACATATATAAGTAGAAAAGTATGATAGGCTAAAAAAAAACTAAATTCCTACCATCACTCTATAATTTATCGAGAAAGAAAATCTTACTGAGCAGAGTCAGGATCGAAGTGACAAAAATTGATGACAGACCATTGGTTAATGGATATTATTTTCAACCAAAAATGCTGAAACTGCAAAGAGGAAGCAAAAAAAGAAAAAACAACTTAAGACTCTCTTTACAAATAACAACGCCTGGCAAGACTAAAATATTCCAATATGGAGGTTAGGTTAGGTTGGAGTGACTGTCTTATATATCAAAGCGTACTTAAGTTTTCTTGAATACTTAAATACTTAATACTTAACAGTATTTAGGCTAAAAAATTGTCGTTTTGTTACTGAAAAATTCCATTTAAAAGGAGTCCTCCTCTCTCATTATAAAACCCATAAACAACCTTATAAGAGTATAAAAGTTATTTTAAATAAGGTCTCCAGTACTTAAAAATTATTGACTATATTTATAAGATCTCTATATGACTGGAAAATATTGTTATCTCTATATGTCTGCATATTTACTATATGTTGAGTACGAAGAACAGTTTATCTGAGAATACCTGTTTTAGAAGAAAAAGAGTGTTATTTAAACGATTTTAACAGTATCTTAAAATGGTAATATCTATAGTACTTATGAAACGGATAGCCTAGAAAGTATTAAATAAGTATATGATTAAATTAATACGAGTAAGGAACATTCGCATAATTAACAACATTACTTATTCAAAAATTAAAATCTTTGTAATATTCAAAAAAAAAATTACTTTATTATTACTTTATTAAATTATTACTTTATCTAACTTATCGCATGATGAAGCATTGGAATGTATAAAAAGGATGTACAAATTCATGCTTTCTTTGTTACATCAATACAAGTCAAATTGACATATATATTATATGAGTTTAAGTTAATAATGCATTAACTTATAAGAAGTTTTGCCTTCATATATAAAGTTATTATTGCATGTTTAATTGCAAATTAATTCAAAATTAAACTTATCATAATTTGTTCCATTGACTTTATTAAAATGATTTTAGGTTTAAGAAGTTATAAATGATATATGTTATGTATAATATGAACTGAATTCCTTATGGCAATAGAAAAATATTAAGTCATACAAGGTCATGTAATCATATACCGAAACCTACATGGAGACCCAACAAATTTCCGTTAACTATGCACAAGCAACAGAATTCAGTACGAATGGAACCACCCATGGAGGTAACATGGAGCACGAGCAGATACAATAAATCAATTTAATGTCACACAAGGGACTCTTAGTGACTTCCAATGCTACTGGTATGTGTTGAATGTAGTAAACAAGTGAAACTAAAGCTAAAAACGTGACTATCCTGACATCGTTTTCATCTCATTTTGTATTAAGTAAATGTTTGCGTTTTGCTAACCAGACACGAAACTTGATGCGGGGACTGTAAGCAGTATGTAAGAGGATTGTAAGCATTTTTAATATCTCAAATTGCAAGCAACCGTATGAGTTGCCTTCATCGAAAAAGGTTAATAAACTGCAAGAGTTAGAATATTCACGACACAATCAAAGTTGTTATTGGTATTTGAACAGCTAATTAATTCCACTAGTGGTAATACAATAGCCTAGCAATGGACTACTTCATGCTGTAGTATGGCGTTTATTAGCAAATAGTAATTAAGAACACACACGTTAATGATGCAACATTGTCTGCCATATTGGGTGTCCACAAATTAGAGAGGAAAATAATTTTGTGTAGTCTTTGTTGTTAATTACACACTTCATTCTAATCAAAAATTCGTAATATTATACTAGTGAAGGGCATCCAAGGTACTCAGCTGTATGAAATTGTCAATAAGAACTACAATAGAATTAACAAAAAGTTTGTACATATGTATATAATGAACAATTTACATACATATATAGTTTTTGTATTAAAGACTAGGTTTTATTTGTTTGGGAAATCTTGTATATCTTTAATATAAAAATTGTAGAATAATATTAAATGCTGATACCTATGAGTACGTATATAACAGATTTCATCTAATAACATTGACTCATGCCACACTTGTGTTAAATTAGGGATTAAAATTACTTTTTATAACAGTTTTCACACAGTTTAATGATTTTAGGGGATTAAAAATATACTCATGCTTTGATCCTTTTGAAAAAGACATGACACCAAAACATGCACAATATTCTTCTTTTTTCATATTTTACTATTTTCTATTTCACATTTACACGAGCACTTTATTTCTAATACCAGAACGGAACAGTGTATAGCGAAAAAAAGAAAAATTTCATATTATTTTCCAAAATGTTTTTATTCCTTCTCTACACATACACATACATAAGCTGAATGCATGTATACCAATTTTCATTCACCAGAATTTATCAAGTGTAGCCAGAACTGTACAGTACTGATTACTTTTGTAATCAGAATATCCTCAATTTCTCATTCCAAGTTAATAGAAATTATGCATTGAGTTGCGAGATTACAAGTCGAATTGGAATTCGAAAAACCCAATTCCTAAACATAAGGACTTAGAATTGAGAATTAAGATTAAGATTACAATTGAAATTAGAATTGAAGAACCCAATTACTAATTCAGGTAATTTGCAAAAGTAATTAAACGAAGAAGAAGCATCGAAACTTTTGACCAACTACAAATTTATTAGATTTTATATCTTCCGATGATACCTAATCCCGCAACTTAATTACTAATTTCAATTCCTTGTACTAAGGAGCTTTCAATTCCAATTTCACTTGTAAACTTGCAACTAATTTCACAATTCTAATTACCCTGTAATTGTAATTGACAATATAATTGATTTGAGTGTAGCAAGCATCAAAAATTAATGCACCAGAGTTAATTCGTAAAAATTGCTCAAATGTGGCAGGCATATGTAAAGTTTAAAATTTACCTTCATAGTTAATTCTGCCATCCTGATCCAAATCAGCAATAGCTAATAATTGTGTGAGTTGAGTTTCTGTGAGCGGTTCACCAATCATTTCCATAGCAGTTTGCAGCTCATCACGTGTAATGAAACCGTTGCCATCACGATCAAATACCCTACAAATGAAAGAATATATTTAAATCATATTTTGAAAAAAACTGTTCAAGTGTTCTAAATAATGAAAGACATTTTACAAGTTTCGTTCCAAAAAAATCTATATAGTTATTTTTACCATATCTGTTGATGAATTTTCTATCATTTATAGTTTTTGAGATACATATTTAAAAAAATGGAATTGACCATGTTTGTGTCCAAATTTAGAAGTGTTTCGGTATGCTGTATTCAAAATATATTCAAATGAAAGCCTCTCTCATGTTAAGGATAACTTCATTTTAATATCTCTACTGGACCAGAAAATACCAAATTTTAGTTAATTTTGTTAAAAAAAAATTATTAAAATATAGGCTTATAGAAATAAAGCAATTTCTTGATTTTACTTTTAATAATAAATTTATTTTTATATTTTAATTAATATTAAATTGCTTTTTAAAGTCCGTTTTGACGAAATTAACTAAATTCTTAATATAAAGTATTGTTTTCAAAAGAGAGGTTTGACGAACATTATTAAATTACAACAATAAAATTTTTTTATTTTATTAATTAATTTAACTTTTGAATTTTGTAAATACCTATCATCAGTGATCATGATGAGTGATCAGTGATCAATAATTGAACTAATTAACAATATAATATTAATTAATATAAATTAATAATTGTAAATATCTGAATTGAAATGCGAAAGCGGTTCCGAGGGGAAATAAATCTCGCCGAAGTGGGAAACTTTTAGTCCGTATACTACATATTAATGTTAGGGAGTCGGACACACCATTCCAACGACGGTCGGTGCATAGAGCATTCCACCTTCTCGCCACAAAAAAAAAATATCTGAATTGAAAAGGAATTTTTTCTAAAGTGTTAAATTTACATATTAAGAATTATGTGTAAAACTCTATATTCTATAGAATAAAACCTGAATTGAAAAAAAAAATTTAAAAAAAAACTCGCTAATTTTATAATTTTTCCATATTAAAGAATAATGCTTAATAAAACACAATTTATAAGAAAATTGAACTTAACGTAATAAAATTTCACCTTAAGCTGTATCGGAACCATAATCTAGCATAGTGAAGGTTTTTACTAAATCAACTTAAAAAAAATAATTTTTTATTCAAATGCAGTAAAGAATTTTTCAAAGCATAAATAAGGAAACTGCAACTATCCTGTCGTAGTATTCAACAACAACAACAAAAACAAAATATAAAAAATAATTCAAAAAAAAAGTATAAAAGCTTAAAGGTAATACCAAAGGCTTGGGAAACTATCTTTGAACAAATTGAAATAAAAAAAAGATTAAGTAAAAAAATTCTACAGATTTTATAATAGAATTTTTTATTCCAACATCTAAGCGAAAGGATAAAATTCAGTGAATTTGTATATGTGTATGTGTGTGTGTAATTACACTTACCTAAACGCGGCTATTAAATCCTCAGTGACATCATCGTTTTCCTCTGGTTTGCTTGCATTTTCTTCCTGTTGCGTTTGCTGCTGTTGTTGTTGTTGTTGCTGTTGCTGCTCGTCACGTATGGCTTGTATGCGTCCGACCCATTGCAGGAATTCAGCCTCGTTTATTAACCCATTTCCTGTAAAACAATAAAAAAAAAAGAATTTAGAAAAAATTGTATTATTTGTCACAGTAAAATGGTATGACTAAAAAATTGCACGTATAATAAAAAACATAATTTTTTCTAAAGCGTATAGAAATAAGCGCGCTTGTGTTTAAAGTGTAATTAACATTTTTATAAATAAAAATAAAATATGCAAATAGTTTAAAGAAAAAAAATGTATTAAACAAAAAGCCTTGGTCTTTTACAAGTTCTCCTTGTTGAATGCTGCAACATTAAGATCGTAATAAAAATATAACAATAAAATAATCACATACACTCGCACAAACACACACACGCAACCGCACATTTACATCGACAATTTTGTTTTCCACACAGCCAGCGTTTGTTGCCTAACGAATACGTGGCACAAACGCTCGTATTGTGTGCCGCTCACTTCTGTTTACTACTTATGCAACTGTAATTGCAATCGCAATCGCAATCATAATCAACAAATAAAAACAAACGAGAGCAAAAATTAAATTAAAAGCAAACAAAAACAATGTTGGTCTTGTTGACTGCAGCTGAATCTCTACAAAGCCGTTGCCAACAACATCAATCAATCAATTAATCAACGCTCGATCAACAATCAAAATATAACTGAAGAAAGGAAAAATTTGTGGAGGAGTGAAGAAGACATAAAACAACAAATTAATTAAAAATTATAATTGTTATTTTCCCAATTTTATATGCATATGCTATATCGAGTTGAAAAGGAACATGTGACTTGATATATAATAAGTTTTCAATATAATTCAAAATCAAAAAAATAATACATATATAAAAAATAAAGAATATTTAAATTATGTAACAAAAAATAATATTGAAATTTAACAATTAAAAATAAAAATATAATTAATTAATTCATTTATTCTACAGCTGGTTTATGATTTCGTTGTAATATAAATACAGCAAGTGAATTTGTTAATAAAACCTTCACATCAAATTAACAAAACTCCAGAAAAATGTGCGAACGTAAAAGTCGAGTTCGGCTTTAGGTCAGTAAAATTTCTGGTACTTTCAGTCTCAAAAAATTATTTACGAATAATAAAATACAAGAATTATTTCCAAGACTCTGCAGGAGGGCATCTACGGTTGATATTTTGGCTTTCATTCGAAAAACGAAATGTCTTCTGTTCCGTTAGGGACTGTAGCAGCACAAAAGATCAACTATGGTAGCGGTGCTCCGATTCGTTAGGAGTCAGTTCCTTTTTTATTTCTATTCTATTCTACTCTAACTTTGCAATATTCTATAAGAAATTTCAAGCATAGGTTATATAAATTGTGCAAATAATAAGTGCATATACCACATATTTTAAGCATAAGATATAGAAATTTATTTAGAGAAAATTAAGATTAACATAAATTATTTTTGGTTAAAATGATACGAAAGCTGAGTTTTTTAAAAATACACTTTTTCGAAAGATATTTTCAATTCAACATGTTTCTATTAGCTACCACTATTGAAAAATGCACATGTTTTTTTAAATACAGAACGAAACGTCAGCACATTTTATCGGTTTGTGATCCAAGATTGGTTAAAAATAAGTTTATAATTGATCGCTTTTATTGAGCTTCAAAATAGATGTACTCTACTTCAAAATATAATTAGACTACTTCAAATTAGAAGTACCCTACTTCAGATTAGAAGTAGACAATTTTAAAATGGAAGTGGATTACTTCAAAATGTAACTAGACTACTTCAAATAAGAATTTTTCTTAAGTTGAAGTTTACAATTAGAAATTCATTGTAGTTTTTCCTCCAGAGATGCAATCTAATCATAAAAATATTGTTTTAAAATGTTTTAAAATATTTTAAAATAATGTTTTAAAATAAAGAACAGCTTAGTAATAAACATTTTTCTCAAAATAACTAGAAATATCTGAATATTACAGAAATCCTGTGAGAAATATTCGTAATTTATAGCGTGCCCCGAAGTAAACAATATATTGATGTGTATTTATTTATATTATTAGTCAGATAAGATATTTTAAAGTATATGAGTCCAGCCTAAATTTCAACAGGAGTCCTGCTAAATTACAAAAACAATACAGTAACATGGAAATGCTTTATAGAAATATGATTTTTTAACAGAAGATTGTCGGCTAGAAAAATATGCTCGGGGTTTTAATATTTTCTTAAATGCCTTTTACCAAAGCTGTGAAAAACACCAAAAAGTTATACTTTGGTTATACGTTAAGAATATTAAGAAAGCTCTATAACTCTAATATTAAATATATAACGACATCGTCACTGAGATCATTATATTTTTTTCAATTTAATCTGGTTGTAGTTTGATTGTAGTTTGAACTAAAGTCAAGCAGTGACATGGAGGCTTGCTTTCTAGAGCATTTAAAAGTGTGGTCTTACATTAAAGATTTCACATAATTTTAAGACGTATGTATTTTATATGGCAACATAATTGGTCTTTGGTGTAAAAGAGATCTAAATGATCACCTAAATTATGATGTCGAAGATATTATATGTAAAGCAGTTTTTGCATTCTCAACGAAACTGCGAATTTGATTACTTTTGATGAGGTTAATATAATGAGGCTGTACTAAAAGAATAAAATTGTAGCGCATAATACGAACGTCATAAATTCAGATTGTGTGAACTTGTTTAGCATAGGATATTACATTATAATATTATATTTTATAAATCTACTGAAATGAGAAGAATGAATTTCTTACCATAACACAATGGGTCAATAGGTCTAAGTTTATCTTTAGTATCACCTCTATAACCTAACCTAACCTATGCTTTAGCAAAACAATGCACAGTGTAGAGTAACCCTTTGCTCTGAAAAGCACATTGTAATCGTAAAATAAAAATAAAATAAAAATTCAAAATAAATGGCTTCGCGTTCAAATTGTTGATATTATTGCTGTTGCTTCTATTGTTTTTGTTTTGGCCATTGTTGTGTTTGTTTTTGTGTTTTTATTGTTCAAGCGTTTATTTATACAAGCTGTTGATTTTGTTTTTTGTTACTTGTAATTGTTTTTGCTGTTGCAGTTGTATGTACTGTTGTTGCCTTTGAAATAGAACATTTCAAGTACAGCCAAGAACTAAACAAGGCTCTTCTGGTGTAATGATTCTGGAAAATTGTTTTGTAACGCCAAATGCAGCGGTTAGTCTTTATGCTTTGTGTCTTGTTGTTGCTGTTGTTGGCATTGACTTGAGTTGTTCTTTAGTTGTTCTTTAGTTGCTCTCAAGTACAAAAAACACTTAAAACAGCTTTTAAATTAAATAATTCTCTTTAAATTTATAATTTTGTTCAAAAGTATTTAATAAATACTGTAACTAATATTAAAGATTTAATAGTTTTCAAAACTTTAATCTCAAACTTAGAATTAAATGTTACTTCGAATTTCGTACCGTTTTTAATGAATTTTGATATTTTCATTGAAATAGCAACAATTGATAATAATATTTTTAAATTAGAGTTTAAATATACAAAAGATTTTAGAAATTAACATAATAATTAAATAGAATGTTACTTTTAAAAATAATATTGGTTAAGGTGCGCTGACCTCGATTACTGGTACTTGCAGTTTCAAAAAAATTATTTACGAATAATTAAATTATTAATACGCATATAATAATAACTAATAATAGGTATTTGGCAATACTCGAAACAGCGGTATGGTCAACCAAAAATTCAATTAATTAAAATAATATAAAATGAATTTTAGTTTTTGTAATTCACTACTGTTCCAAAAAACTTCTTTCTAAAATAATATTCTTAAAGAATGTTTATGTATTTATTTGTAAAATTGACTTAAACAAAAATCTTTTTTTTTATTGTTTATTGGATCCTTGCACTCACTTCATCAAATCATCTGATAGCTTGTTTTTATCATTTGTTTTATCCTTGCTGTGTAGTAATTACCTTCCGCATTTTGTTATTTGCCTTGGAATCGTAATCAAAAGGACGACTACTGACTTGTTTTGCCGCATAGCAAATATTGCCATATCAACAAAAGGCATTATGTAGGAGAGCTCCGAAAAAAAATTACGAAAATGGAAAATTAAAATATTGTTTGTAATTTCCTTCTGCAACATTTTCTTTTTGACTTTTAGTAATTTGTCTTCATTTAAGCTATGTACATATATATATAACCTTGACCTTAACCACATAACGAAGTTCAAATAAGAGATATAAGTACTTGGTACTTTTTTCTATCAACTCAAGGCAGAAGGCCCATAAAAGAGTACTTTGAATCGCGCATAGAACGGAACTAGTCCGAATGCATAAAATAACAAAGTAAATCAGTCATAAAACCAGCCAAAACTAAAACTTCAATAGCTACTAAAAGTCAAGAAAACTTACTTAACAGTCCTTAACTATGTGTAACAATGTTGTGCTGGGAGCAAGGAGCAGGGAGCTGCTGAAAGAATATGGCACAAAATTCGAAAGTAATTTTCATAAATTGTAAAATTGCCAAGTTTACAGTGGCAGTAAAAAAGTTGAACCAAGGAAAAATTGAAAATGTGAAAATTGACAAAGTCAAGGTGCAATTGTGGGTGCAAAAATTTATTTTTTCGACCTTTAAATATTAGGCGGAAGTGCAAAGGATTTATACAATAATGGTGATAAAGGTAGAATAATATCTATGTTTAGTTACAAATTTAGACATTGTAGTTATAGTTTCTCATTAACTACAAGCCAATAAAAAAATTTATCTTTAACTCCGTTGTAGGTACAATTTCTCATTCACTACAAGTCAATAAAAAAATTTATTTTTAACTCCGTTGTAACAATTTCTTAGAGTCTTTAGAAGATTTGGTTTGTTGCACTGGCGACTTTGTGCCTAAGGCCCACTTGAACTCAAATACCACGTCGTGATACCATGTATTTCTTAGAGGACCACTAATTTGTAGAGATATCAGATATGTTATCTGAGAGGTTATCTTAATATGCATTGCTAATTCAACAAGATGGGATTTATCTAAAGTGACAGCATATCGTATCAGC